GGGGGATTGTACTGAATATAGGTGTCTTTCTTTAAGTCATGCCTTTTACTTCTGAAAAGCAGTTTGTTGCATGGAAATAGATCTAGTTGAATACTATTCTAAAAAGTCCCTCAGCGTAATCCACTTATAAAGTCAGGATTTAATCCTTGATTTATCTCTTCTTTAAATTCCCATTTTCACACAATGGATCTGTTTAGAATGGAAGCCTCTTTGTAATGGTGACAAAGAAGAAAAATGGCAGAATATGAACATACCACCAGTAAGATATTTTGGACAAAATTAAGATCTTATTCATAAAGGTATCCCAATTAATAAAATAGTATTAAAATATAAAGCTCCTAAATATCTAAAATATGTATAGAAAATGAAGACAAAATAAATATAATATTTTATTAATGGAAGATGATCTTATATACATTAATCATATATTCCGCTGAACAAGAAATCAATCATTAAAAAAAAATCAATTATTTGACAACGTTTAGAAGGTGATATTTCTAGACCTTTACCCATAGCAACAGAAGATTTCTTCTATAGGATGCTTAGCCATTATGAGCTATCCCATCATAAAGAATTTATGTCTGATTGGGTTGCACTATTTAAAAGAGCACTTTTATATATAATTATGTATACTCGAGTATATATGTGTATATATATATTTGCATTAATATAACACAAAAATTTCTCTATGTGTTTTAATATGTCTCATATTATCATGATTATAACTGACACAGGATAGACTTTATGGTATTTACTGATAGTTATCAGGCATTTAACCTAAATTTTTGGAAGTTCAGAAAATATATGTGCTATATGGATAAAAAAATTTAAAGCACTTAAGTTTTTATTGTTTGATTCATTGACAAACAATGGGGGAACTTTGTAAGGATCAAACAATGGTTTTTAAAAAGTGGTAAGCTTGAGGCACCGGGGTGGCTCGGTTGGTTAAGCATCGGCCTGCGGCTTAGGTGGTGATCCCAGAGTCCCAGGATGGAGCCCCATATGTTGGGCTCCCTGCTCAGCGGGGAGTCTGCTTCTCCCTCTGCCCCTCACCCTGCTCTCTCTCTCTCAAATAAATAAAAAATAAAATAAAAAAGAAAACTGTTAAAAATAAATAACAAATAAAAAATGAAAATAAAAAGTGGTAAGTTTAAAAAAAAAAGTGGCAGGGGCGTCTGGGTGGTTCAGTCGTTAAGCGTCTGCATTTGGCTCAGGTCATGATCCCAGAGTCCTGGGATCGAGCCCCGCATTGGGCTCCCTGCTTGGCAGGAAGCCTGCTTCTCTCTCTCCCACTCCCCCTGCTTGTGTTCCCTCTCTCCCTGGCTCTCTCTGTCAAATAAATAAAGAAAATCTTAAAAAAAAAAAAAAGTGGCAAGTTTCCCAAAAGAAAAGGAAGGGAACTGTATATGACACGGTAGATGCAGAAAGGAATTCAAGTAGCATTTTGCAAGCACTTTCATAAATAAAAATTTCTCTACAGATATTCTGGCAGGAAGCTAGCAAGTCAATTAGTGTGATGCTATGACATTTATTCGCGGGTAGAGTGAAAATTAACAAAAAATCAAATAGTTCCCCGCCCCCCCCGACATCATAGGGGAAGAGAAACCTTAGGAATATTTTCATTTCTAAACCATTGTTTAAAAATACATGAAAAGAGGCATCAGATCAAGTAATTTGAAGTGCAAAGAATTTTTTAGTCTCAATTGGAGGTTTGTGCAAGTTCTTTATAATGTTAAATTTATTTATTTATTTTAAAAGATTTTTATTTATTTGAGAGAGAGAGATAGCAAGAGAGAGAGCATGAGCTGGGGGTGGGGGGAGATGGAAAAGCAGGTTCCGCAACGAGCAGGGAGCCCAACCTGGGACTCGATCCCAGGATCCTGGGATCATGACCTGAGCCAAAGGCAGACGCTTAACTGACTGAGCCACCCAGGCACCCATAATGTCAAATTTATTCAAAAGTCTTTTATTCTGAAGTTATAACCTTCCCAACTTTTGGTGGGTGGTTTTTTTGTTTTTTTAAGTAGGCTCCATGCTGTGCCCCAATATGGGTTCTGAACTCATGACCCTGAGATCAAGACCTGAGCTGGGAGAGTCAGATGCCTAACTGACTGAGCCACCCAGGCGCCTTTAAGTTTTGTATTGTTTTGTTTTAAAGATTTAATTAATTAATTAATTAATTTATTTAGAGTGTGAGCAGGGGGAGGGGCAGAGGGAGAGGAAGAGAAAGAATCCCAAGCCAACTCCAAGTGTGGAGCCCTATGTGGGGCTAGATCCCAGGACCCGAGACCATGACCTGAACCAAAATCAAGAGTTGGATGCCTAACCGATTGAGCCACCCAGGCGCCCCTCAAGTTTTGGTTTTAAAATATTTCTATTTTATGAAATAATGGGAAAAGTAGATAGATATTTATTTATATTTACTTTTATACCTTTAGTTTGCAACATAAAAAAGTTTTTAAGGATATGTCAGTTACCAAAAATTCCTTGCAAATTTTACCAGTCCATGACATAAAGTCTGGAAATCAGTGATATAGACTCATTTCCATTATCTAGACAGATTTACAATAAAATATTTCTAGAATAGTAGTCTGGTTAATTAGATTTTCACACTGTAAGTTAACCTTTTCTTTTTTTTAATAAAGATTTTTATTTATTTATTTGACAGAGAGAGGCATAGTGAAAGAGGGAACACAAGCAGAGGGGGAGGGAGTGGGAGAGGGAGAAGCAGGCTTCCTGCCAAGCAGGGAGCCCAATGCAGGGCTCGATCCCAAGACCCTGGGATCATGACCTGAGCTGAAGGCAGACGCCCAACGACTGAGCCACCCAGGCACCCCATAAGTTAACCTTTTCATTTCAGCCTTGCTCATTCAACCCAATTTGAAATGCATTTATTGAAAGCATTAGTTATGTCAGCTATCAACCCAAGTGATGCTGATACAAAAGCGCATACGTATGGCCTTCAATCTTGGAAAAGAATTCAGATTAGTGCAAGAGACAGAAAGAGAAACATTTAAGGCTTGTCTTCAATTTGATACCTGGAATCGGAATAATAGATGCATGTATGTAGTAGAAAAATAATCATGTCAGGAAAGGGGATGCAATCTGAAAAGTCTTCACAATGAAGGTAATGCTTCTATTGGGTTTTGATGGACACGTAAATGAGAATCTTCCAGGTGAGCACGGAGGGAAGGCTACTCTACACAAAAGGAACCATGTACCCAAAGGCATTGAGGTTTGAAATAATTGGATCATTGATGTAGAGCAGCCATTTTAAGTGTCAAATGAAGGAGTGGCCAGAGAAGAAAACTGAGAGATAGCCTGGAGTTAGATTATAAAGAGAGATGTATGTTTTGCTGAGATGCTTGGACTATATTCAGTGTATGCCTCGAGAATTTCTGAAGGATTTTGAGCAGGGGAGAATTGGAAATCTTTCTAAAAATGTATTAGTATCTCCTTTCTGCCTCAGTAGTAATAGATTCATTTTTGTTCAGTATATTCTTTTACTGATGATTAAAGTTCATTCAGTGATATTCTCAATGAATATCCGTTCTAATTTTACAAAGGAACACACGGAAGTATGGAAGGTGGAGGACATGAGCCTCCTCTACAGAGATCCAGGAAATATTTTTCTGAAGTTTCTTTATAAAATCAAATTACTATGAACTTATTTTCTCTTAATTGCCTCATTTTTGTTAATATTAATAAAGGGCTGGGGAAAGAAATTTTTGTTGACAGCTTCTAGGAATTGGATTTTTCTTAATTTTACTGTAGAAAATCACTAGTTAATAGATGCTATCCACCTAAGTGCTAAGTGAGGGGTAAAATGCCACTTTTGGATAGAATTTGGAGATTCTGTCTCTGGAGAATGGAGACATATTCATTTCCCCCCCCCCCATTCTTTAGTTAACACATAATGGTTACTATATAAATGTGCGGTGTACTGAAAAGAATTTGCAGTATAAATGGTAACAATTTTTCTAAGAAAACTAATTACTGGCTTCACTGGTACTTCTATTTATTTATTTATTTATTTATTTATTTATTTGAGAGAGAGAGAAGGAGAGACAGTGAGAGATTACAAGCGGGGAGGAGAGGGAGAAGCAGGGAGGAGAGGGGAGCCCATGCGGGGCTCAATCCCAGGACTCTGGGATCATGACCTGAGCTGAAGGCATAGATGCTTAACCGACCGAACCACCCAGGCGCCCCTCACTGGTAGTTCTTTGAGGTGGTTTACCTTTGTGTGTAAACAGAGAATAAATGATCATAATGTATTTCACCCTTTAAAAGAATTTTAAAAAGATCTCTATACAAGGATGTTAAAAGCTTTAGTTATGCTGGCACATTGGTAGAAGATTTCTTTTTATTTTTTTATTTGTTTAAAGTAATTGCTCTACCCAATGTGGGGCTTGAACTCACAACCCCCAAAATCAAGAGTTGCATGCTCTACCGACTCAGCCAGCTAGGCACCTCTGGGAATATTTCTTTTAAAGAATAGGGATCTAGCTTAGAGATGAAAAATAAAGGTATGGGATAAAGTCCCTCTAAGGGGAAAGTACAAATTGTAAATTTCTCCAGGGACTGGTTCAGTAACACTGAACATTCTTTTTTTTTTTTTTTAGTCTTTTACCTTTAAAAAAAAAGATTTTATTTATTTGAGAGAGAGAGAGAGAGAGAGCATGAGTAGGGGAAGAAGCAGTGGGAGAGAGACAAGTAGAATCCATACTGAACACAGAGCTGGCCCCGGGACTTGAACCCACAACTCTGAGATCATGACCTGAGCTGAAATCAAGAGTCAGACACTCAACCAACTGGGCCACCCAGGTGCTCAAATACTGAACATTCTTTTTTTTTTTTTAAACTCAACAATTTTTATTATAACTCATGTACTTCATAGAAACAGGAAATGTAGCAAATGGGTCAGGGTAGTATGAAAAATGTGTTAAAACTGCAGGTGTGTACACATGGCTGTATTTACTTCGGACACAGGCTCCCCTACATCAGGCACAGCAACTGCATTTGTCCGATGCGCCTTTGCAGATGCAGCCCTGGGCACACTTGGCACAGCCCGCGGGACAGCAGGAGCAGCAGCTCTTCTTGCAGGAGGTGCATTTGCAGGAGCCGGCACACGTGCAGGAGCCACCGGTGGAGCAGGAGCAGTTGGGGTCCATTTCGAGTTGAGTGGAGTCGAGGACGGAGGTCCAAAGCAGGCGACACGGAGACACACGGCTGCAGACTGGAGGCGTGGTCCAAATACTGAACATTCTTAAGAATGACTTACATATTGGAAGGTCTAGGTTTGCAGATTTTCTAAAATTTTCCTCTATGTGAATACTAATAGTAGTAGTAGGAGGAGGTTAGGTGTATGAGCTAAAAAGTGATAAACAATGCTATTGTGGGCAAGTGTGAAATAGAGAAAAAATAATATAAATTATGTTTGTAAGGTGGTGATCTCAGCATGGTTGGTTAAGTGTAGCGACGAGAATTTAGAGGTTACTGCAGACTGCCTTCTGGAGTTACCGAGCCCAATGTGCTAGTAGTGTAACAGAACAATCTGGACATCAAAGAACAGGTGTTTTACAAAGAACCTGAAAACATCACCTAGACCTTGAACAAAACCTATAGTTGTGTACACATCGGAAGTAGATGTCTTTATTTCTAGAAGATCATACTAGATATTAGAATATAAAATATTCTTATTCTATTTATATTCTAATATAGAATATCAGAACCCAGAAGCAGTCTCAAAGTTTGACAGCTGTAAATCAGATGAAAACCGGTTTTATCTTGACAATAGTAAAAAAAAAGCTAACAACCAAAAAACAAAATGGAATAGGCTGAAAATGGGGGTTTAGTTATAGACACTTAAGAGATTTATATAAGCATCTCTGAAGGCCATACAAATAGAACCCAGGTATTTCCTTGTCTCTTGCCCCCAGTAGAAACACCTGAATGACCTACAGCCTTTCCCTTTGCTCACACTTTGATATTTATGTCCATAAAATTTTTGAGCTGAACTCACGGAAAAGTCCTTTGAGCTACCGATGTTTATTTCCTCCTCTCTGCTACTAAACTCCCTTCTAGGGTACCGCTGAGAGCTGCTACTTTCTAGGCGCCATTGGGTTCCACTGAGCTATCACTGTAAATGCACTAAATATGCTGAGGTCCGAAGGCTCTCAAAGTTGATTGGCAAACAGGGCCAGGACACTTAATCGTTTCCCCCTAACAGTCTTAGATGGGTACAAAAGCACTAGCTGTACCCAACTGTAGTAGTGACAACTCTTTCGGTTCTTACAGCTCTGGTGGGAAACTGGGGAAATCATAATCCACCAGACTGTCGAAGAATTTCTCTTCTCATGGGGCAGGTTTTGCTGCAAGGTCAAGCTTCCGGTGCCAAACTCCCTCTTTCCCTCAAGGAATAGCCTTCTGGTGACCGTTTGGGCTCAACCTGGGCTCCCCCTGCTACAGTTCTAGCAAGGGGGACGGAGGTCTTTAACTTTTGAGGTTGGCATGAGAGGCACCTTCTATTGTCTTTTCAGAAGAGTAACTTAGTTTTCGTGAGGAACGCCGAGACAACACAGAGGACGTGAATTAAGCGGAACTTTTTAATGGAAATGATTTAAATGGTTTTTTTAAATGGATGATTACGAGGGGCCCCTGGGTGGCTCGGTCGTTGAGCGTCTCTCTCGGCTCAGGGCATGGTCCCAGGGTCCTAGGATAAGACCCGCATCCGGCTCCCTGCTCCGCGGGAAGCCTGCTTCTCCCTCTCCCCACTCCCCCTGCTTGTGTTCCCTCTCTCGCTGTGTCTGTGTCAAATAAATAAAATCTTTAAAAAAAAATAAATGATCGTGAGATGACACCTCCAGGTTTGCAGATACCTTTACTAAAGCTCTTCGGGGTAGCGAGAGGCCAGTGGAATCGACGGTGGGGGTAGAGTGGGCAGTTAGTGAAAACTTGAGCGAATCTCAAGAGGAATTAGTGTCAGAATTTCAGGTATTCTCACTCTCACCAGTCCATTCACTAGACAGCATGCTGAGGTTCCGCAGGATCCCAGCTCCGGATATATTACTCAACTGGAGAAGATTTTGATTTTTTCTCTTCTCCCTTCCCCGCTTTCCCCAATACAGGCTGTGAGTTTGTCCACGACCCCTACCACCATTTAAAGGGAAAGGTGCTTAGAAGAAGGCAAAGTAGGGAGGACTTTGCGGCTGTATTTCTCAGACCCGTAAAGGGAGAGCAATAATGGGTAAGCGGCGTGCAGACTAACTCCTTCCTTGCCCAATCAGGTGCACAGGAAGATGTCCTTTTACCAATAAAAATAAAATTCGCTTTCCGGAGGCGGGAGGGTGAGCCTTGACTGCCAGTTCTCCAAAGCAACGATGGAGTAGAGGACAGAGAGTGATTAGAGGAAGGGCCAACCCGGGGAAAGGGGCGGGGAGGGGTGGGGGCCGCGGTGAGCGGCGGCCGGACCGGCCAGTGGAGTGCGAGGATTGCTGTTCCTGTTGTAGTGTTTCTCGCCAATCAGGAAGGCGAGGGAGTAGGCGGGGCGGGGAAGGGGTGGGAAGAGCTCGCAGCACCGCCGGGTGTCCGTCGGGCTCAGGGGGAGAGAGAGAAATCCGGTTAAAATCAGAGTCGGAGGTTTAACCACACATCGGTTCCGATCGGATTATTCCTTAAAGGGAACGCGCCATTGTCAAGAGAACGGAGCCCGGGGCCCGAGGGCGGGGACCGGCGGCGCCCGAGGAGCGAGGCAGCTGCACTTGGACTGGGGACGGGTAGGTGTTGCCTGGGGAAAGACGCTTCATTTCACTTTCTCTTCCAGCCCCAGGGGCAAGCGCCGGGATGCCCGGCGGCCACAGCCCTGGCGGGAGACGAGGTCGCCGGCCCTCGCCCGGCTGCCCTCCCTGATGGGAGCCGAGGGGGAGGCGGGCCAGGATGGCTGG